AAAAAAAAAAAAAAAAAAAAAAAAAAAAAAAAAGTTACCCAGAACTGACCCAGAATTAAAATTAGAAACAGGGATATTGAAAGATTTATACATATTTTTCATAGGATAAAAAGTTAGAGATACTGTAGATTTTTTTAAAAGTCAGACTTCTAGAGATTAAAAACAATTTCTAGCCAGGCATGGTGGTGCACACCTGTAATTTCAGCAATTGAGAGCTAAGGCAGGAGGATCGCCATGAGTTCGAGTCCAGCTTAGGCTACATAGTGAGTTCAAGGCCAACCTGAACTACATAGCAAGACCTTGTCTCAAAGAAACAAAACATTCAGTTCCTGAGATGAAAAATATTAATAGCAGACTAAACATTGCAGGAGAAAATATTGGTTAATTTAACAGACATAACATTAGAAACTATAGAAAGTGAAATAAGGAGAAAAGAGAATTTTAAAAACGATAAAAGCATCAATGATCTGTGAGAAAATTTCAGGCAATCTCAATAGATAGCCAGAGTCCTTCTAGAAGAGAAATAAGTGGGAAAAACAATTGGAAAAAAATAATGACCAGCATTTTCAAATGTATCAAAAACTATAAAGCCATAGAGCTAAGAAGTTCACATTCAAACACACAAATATCATAATCAGTTGCTCAAAAGCAGTAGGATATATACAGTGACAGTGTCTGGAACAAAAGGAGTTATATCACCATGGATTCTGTAGGTGTCATATAACAAGGGACTATTAAGAGCAACTGTAAATCAGTACATCAACAGCTTAGATGAAATGAACAAATTCCTTAGAAAATCCAAGTTACTAAAGCTCAAGTTTTAAAAATTAGACTCTGAAATAGCCCTAAGGTATTAAAGATACTGAAATGGTAAACACCTTCCCATAAGGAATAGTCAAGGTCCAGGTGGCTTGTACAGAATGTTTAAGGAAGAAACACCAGTCCTACACCGATTCTTCCAGAAAAATCTGGAGAGAGAAATCCTTTCTAATGCATTTTGAGGCCAGCATTATCCTGATACCAAAGCAGAGAAAGACATAAGAAAAACATAGACCAATAGCTCTTTTGAATACAGAAGTGAAAATTCTAAACAAAGTCTTTCGAATATATATACTTGAAAAATGCAAGATTAATGTTAATAAAGTCGATTAATGTGATTCATTGTTATAAACTTAAAAAGAAGAACTATATGATCTTCTTAGAATACACCGAGAAAATAACTGTAAAAACATCCATTTCTCATTTTAAAACTCTCAACAAATTGGGACGAGAAAAGAGCCTGATAAAAGACATCTATGAAAAGCACACTTGCCATCACCCTTAGTGGGGGAGACTGGACACTCCTTCTCTAGGATGGACAGCAAGGATGCCCTCTTCCCAGCTCTACTCAATGTGTCCTGGAGGCTCGAGCCGCTGAAGTCAAGAAAGAGTATAAAATGAGAGTCAACCAGGTGAAAACGAAGGAGGAAAACATTTTTGTTCAGATGACCTGACTACCTATCAAACATCCCATAAGGTCATTAAAAAAGTACATAAACTTATTTTAGCAAATTTCCAAGATATACACTTAGTATACAAAAACCAACTGTGTTTGATATACTGGCACTGAACAGTTGAAAAATTAACTTTAAAAGTGTCTGGGTGTGATAGTACATACTTGTAATCCCAGTATTTTGAGAAGCTAAGGCAGGAGGATGAGAAGTTTGAGCCCAGCCACCAATACCCTGTCTCAAAATAAAGTTTTAAAACGGATAGATATGTAACTCAATTTGAAGGTCCTGGGTTCAACCATAGTACCACAAGTAAATAAGCTTTCTGTATTTTGATCACACTTTCTGTAAGTAAACAGTGGGATACTGCTATGCAGTAAAAAGAAAATAAATTATTGATGTATGTCACAATATGAATGAATCTCATAATAATTAGGCCAAATGGAAGAAGTCAGACCAAACAGAACATATATTATGTAATCTCACATATGAAGTTCTAGAAAAATGGAAATGAATCTGCAGCTTCAAAAGCAGATTAGGGTTTGTCAGAGGTGAGAGTGGGTAGAACTAGGAGGGAATCACAGCAGGGCAGGAGTACCTTTCAAGGTTGCTACTGTGTCAGAACTTATGAAATTATAATTACACTTCATGCCAGGCATGGCAGTGCACTCCTGTAATTCCAGCTGTCCAGGAGACTGAGGCAGGAAGATTGCAATTTCAAAGCCAGCCTGGGCAACTTAGCAAGATCCTGTCAGAGAAAGAAAGAAAAGGAAAGGAAGAAAGAGAAAAAGAAAGAAGAAAGAAAGAAAGGAAAAGAAGGAAGAAAGGAAAGAGGAAAGGAAGGAAGGGAAAGGAAAGGAAGGAAGGAAGGAGGAGAAGGGAGGAAAGGAAGAAGGAAGGAAGGAAAGAAAGAAGGAAGGAAAGAAGGAAGGAAGGAAGGAAGGAAGGAAGGAAGGAAGGAAGGAAGGAAGGAAGGAAAAAGGCAGGCAGGGGAAGGGGGATTATATCTTAATATAGCTACGAAAATATAAAGTTGTAAAAGAAAGAAATGTGGTGGTAACCAGAAGACAAACACAAATGAATTGCAAGCAGTTTCCCTTGAGGATCCAGTGAGAAGAAGGGCCAGTCTTTTTGTTTATAAATAAATGTTTTAATAGTTGAGTTTTAATCATTTCCTCATTATTTTAACAAACTAGTTGGGGAAAGATCTATACAGTGAAATTTCTGAAATCATTTAAAAGATGAAACTCTTATCACTGACAGAAAACCTCTCTAGAAGACTTTATTGGCTTTTGAAAAGCAAGTTACATAAAAATGTGTATTGTATGGATCCATTTAGGTAAACTACTAAAGACATTACATGAAAATGTACATGTATGCAAAAATGCTCAAAGAAAGAAGTAAAATAATATACAAACCAAACTCCTGGTTATATTTCTTCTGTGACAGGAAATAAGTGTTGTGTGGGAGACATTCATATGTCTACACACACGTGTGGGTTACTCAAGTCTTTTACAAAAAGTCATTTATCATATATAAGAGAGAAAATTGGATAAATAGGACTCTTCAAAACAAAATAAATTAGATTTATATTCAGTTATGTGTTCCTCTATTAATTTTTGTATGCCAATAACTGGCAATCAATTTTTGTCTTTGTTTTATTTATACAATTCTTATAATTTCATATATTTAGATTTTCAGGAGTGTTTTTATCATTGTAGGAGCTTGTGAATGAATGGGATCAAAATTTAAGTCTCTTCTCTTATACCCTTGAGGAATGGATGAATTGTCAAAGAACTTGGCTTTATCTTGAACCAATCTTTCATTCATTAGAAATAAAAAGGTAAAAACAATCAAAATATACAATGCACAGGTTTTTAAAAATACTGCACAGTGGAGATTTAGTTTCTGCAATCCGTGAGAAGTCATTTCTTTAATGAACTATCCTACCTACAAACATAGATGTATAATTTGTTGAATCATTTTTTCTTTCATAAAAGTTTATAAACATCTTTTTATTAAAAACCTTATTTCTCAATTCTTGATATAAAAATAGAAAAAAATTCAGAAAGAAGTGTCAGGTATATCATTATAGTCCTAAAGCAACAACATTATATGTCTCCATAGTCCTGGAATATTAGTGTGGTTTTGATGTGAATAGTAATTGTAGCAGCACTTATACATTAAGACTTTCTTGCAGTGGGCAGACCGAATAGAGATGGAAGAATAGAAGGCCTTTGCAGTTATTAAAATTCCATATTTTCCTTTGATTCATAGCATTCAAATTAACTGGCTTCAGACTTTTTTAAGTAAATGGTCTTCGGAGTGCTTGAGACAAATGAGTTATGTAGGCAGAATTTAAACTACTGACAATAAATCATAAAAGCTAATATAAGAGCCACTCTGAGATAGGGTAAGAAATCATGGGGTGTATACTTGAAAGGTCTAGCAGAGTGGTGGGAAACCTTCAATATCAGGTTAAATACTTCGTTTTATTTGGAGGGAGCCACTGGAAGTTAACAAAAGAGAACTGTCTACATAGGGAGTACTGCTTTGTAGGGAACAATGTTCATTTTTGTTACACAGTGTAGTTTCATCACACCAGTGCCTGGTGTCTCCTCTTCTGTTAACCCATAGGCATTCTGAGCAGCCTACTAAGGAGTCAAGCTCTGTGCTTGCCATTCTCTCTCCTCTTCTGTTAACCAATAGCTGTTCTGAGGGTCTTCAGAGGTGAAACACCCTCTATGGCTGCCACAACTTTGAGCATTAAATTCAATCTTTAACACTACATTCTTTACTAGTTTCTCATTAGTGTAAAGATCAGACTCCTAGGTAAAGGTGTTTGAAATATCACTGGGTTGTTCCTTTACAAAATTTGCTGAAGTTGAAAAGGAAGTGTTAAATTGAAATTGGAGATGCTGGAGTATTAACATAAATAGTATATTACAGTTAGCATAAAAACAGGAAAATACAGGTTAGTTGTGGCCTTCCTTTCCAGAGTGCCAAAAGAGTGATGGGTACCTGTGGGAAAAATATGAGAAAAGAAGAAACAAGAGATCCATCAGAGGGAAGGATTCTGTAAAGAGAACCTGTGAGAGTAGAGGATGCGGTGCCTTCACTGCACTCCAAACCCGGGAGGTGCTGCCTCTTGGTAGGGTCTTGCTGAGCTGCAGAAACTTCTAAGCTCCAAAGCCAAGTTGGATTAGGACAAGGGTGAGCAGGCTCTTGAGATCCCTGGTGCATAAGGCATTAGAAATAGGGTTTGCCTCCTCGCTGGAGAATTCCAAGCAGCTTTTAATTACAGGAAAAGAAGAGCAGAAAAAAAGACTGCTGGTTCTAAACAAGAGTGATTTTTGTTCTTTGTGGACATTTTACTGTCTGGGAACATTTTTAGTTGTCACAACCAAGAGGACTCTACTGACATCTAGTGGGTAGATGCTGCTAGCCAGAGATGCGGTTAAATACAATGCACAAACCCCACCAACCCCCAAAGAGTTACCTGGTCTAAAATGTCGACAGTGCTGAGGAAGGTGAGATATCCTGATTTAGATCATGGAGTTGCAAGAGAAGGTTCCACCCAGAATCGGAAATCCCAGAAGCACACCACATAGAAGTCCAGCCCAGAAGAGCCAGGGATGGTGAACACAGAAGACCCTGTCCAGGGCACTCCAGAACCCTAGAGGTATTCACATAGATGACTGCCACACCAGAGCACATTCAGTAAGCAAAACAAGATGAAAAATAACCCCATCTAAATGAAAAAAAAGAAAGGCTTTCCCTTGAATTTCTTCTCCAGTTCAACTTCTAACCCCCAAAGACCTTGAACCTGGTTGGACTAAGATGGGATGAGGCTAGGTGAGCAGAGAAAACGACAAAGGTCGACTTTTGTAACTTTTGAAAATACTTTCCTTATTCAACTTCAGCAGCAGGAGAAAAATAGCTCATACCAATAAATCAATGGATTATCATGCTACAAGGCATTCTGCTTCCTTTTCCAAGTGGTAAAAATAATGATAGTATTCTATAAAGGAAATTTCTATACCAAGACTGATACCTGCCTTAAATGTCCTTATCCTCTAAGATTGGATAATCATCAACGAATTTGATCTTGTATCCATCTCTGCACTCTTGCTCAACAACTGAGGTCCTCTCTGTCTTCACCCCACATCAAACCTGTACTACTTTAAAACCCAAATCACACAGCTTCTCCAAAAGTTCCCTTCAGACCCCACTGCTTCTCTAGAATTTGAGTAGCCCTTTGTGTTAACGAATTTCCACCACTATGACTAGGGAACATGTAAGGGGTGAAGTGTATTTTCACTCATTGTTTCAAAGTCTCCAGTCCAGGGTCACTTGGCCCTGTTTTTGGCCTGTGTCAAGGCAAAGAGCATGGCCCATTCACTTCATGTGGCCAGGAAGCAGGGAGAGGATGCTGGCCAGAGTCCCACTACCCCCTTAAGGCCTCCTAATGACCCCTTTCCTTCCACCAGTCCCCACTAAAGTTTCCCCTATCTTCCTCTAATACCACAGATGGAGAATGAGGCTTTAGCACACAGGACTTGGGGACATTTCAGATCCAAACTATAGCATACCACCCTTTGTTATGACACAAATTACTTAGCTTTTTTTTTGTAGAATTTTTCTTTTTCACCATACTGTAAATGCAATCTTATTAAATGATAGGTGTATGTCTAATCTACCTTAGTTTTCCTTATGTTCTTGTACATAACATATACTTCAAAAGTATCCTTAATTAATAACTGGTCAAGAAAAATAAAACATCAAAATTATTTTCTAAACTCAACAATGTTCTATGACAAATGTATTTAGATTATACATTTTACCTGTGCAAAACAGTGACATCTCATTTTATTTCTAAAGGCAGCTCCCTGCAGAAACAAAACTGTTCTTTCACGTGATCTCCATATGGAAAGAAATAATGTCAAAAGTACGAAACAAACTGGATGCTTTGCGAATAACCACTTCTGCAGGAGTACTTGAAATTCTACAAAATTGCAATATACATCTTGAACACATAAAGAAAAGTCTCGAGGTGAAGCAATACAATCTTAAAGTGGAGACTCATTTAATTCTATAGAACTAATGTAATACAATACAGAAACTAATTCCAGCACAGATGTTTTTCTGTACTCTGTCAACAATTTTCCCAGCTCTCATTACCTATTGCATTAATGAAAACAATGAAGAGGAAAAAATGGATGGACTGATCTAAATGACAGAAAAAATACCAAGCTTCTAAGTGCCTAGGTTCCCTTATCTTTAAGTCGCTCCCTTGAGGGATTTGTCCTATTGAGATACTGTCAAGAGCAGGCACAAAGAAAGTACTTTGGTTGCTGACTTGCTCTAATCTCATTAAATTGAGCGAAAGTTGAAGTAGGTTATATAAATTAAATTACGATTCCATATATTTTACACTGTCAGAACATGAAATTATCATCTAGACACTGGGTTCTACTGTTGAAGATTTGTGGTGCTCATATTCACATCACCTTATGAGCCAAGGTTTTTTCCAGGCATCCATTGCTGTCCCTTGTTGAACAGAGTGGCAGTGATATGAGGACCCTCTGGAGAGCTTTGGTAGTCTCTGTAAATCCATGCTCTGGGCAGGCAGAAGGAGCTGCATCCAGAGATGTGATTAAAAATAATCAGTTTTGAGCTGGTCGTGTTGGCACACGCCTGTAATCCCAGCACTCAGGAGGCTAAGGCATGAGGATTGCCAAGAGTTTGAGGCTGGTCTGGGCTGCATAATGAATTTATTTATTTATTTATTTTTATTTTAAGAAATAAAAGGAAAACTTACTAACAAACGGACATCCATTTACAAAATAACATAAGAACAATACAAACAAAACCAAGTTACGAAGTTGTAGGAAATTAACAATGGTTGTTGTATTACTTATTGATATCTTCAAAGTAGTTTTTCAAAAAAAGACATACAAGATTGATCAAACAAGTAATCTTTAACTGTTCCTTTCTGTAGAGCAATAGGAGATAGTAGTACAACTACGTTAGTTATCCTGTATATACATAGTTACATAATTTCCCTTTTCCCTCACTTTTCCCACATCCCAGGTGCCCTTTACTTTTGAGCATTTTCCTTTTGTTTCACAATGTCTATCATACCTCCTAGTGTTTATTCACTCTTTCAGGTCTTACACTAGTGAGACAATACGATTCTTACACATGCCGGTCTGATTTATTTCACTTATGGGTATGAGTTATGACCTCATACCCATGTGTCTCTAGTTGTGACCATTTATCTATAAAAGCCTTGAGTTTATCTTTCTTTATAGCTGGGTAATATTCCATTATATAAAAGTACCACAATTTTTTTGTCCAATCCTCAGCGGATGAACATTTGGGTTGTTTCCACAGTTTAGCAATTACAAATTGCACTGCTATGAACATGGGTTCACATATATCGCTGTGATACGACATTTTTAGATCTTCTGGGAAAATACCCAGAAAGGGAATAGCTGGGTTGAAAGGGCCCTCTAAACCTATTTTGCTAAGGAGTCTCCAAACTGATTTCCACAGTGGTTTCATCAGTCTGCATCCCCACCAGCAGTGGAGAAGAGTTTCTATTTCTCCACAGCCCCGCCAGCATTTGTTATTGGTTGATTTCTTGGGTAAGGTGACATCTCAGTGTTGTTTTAATTTACATTTCTTGAATGATTAATGATGTTGAACACTTTCTCATGTATTTATTTTCCATTTGTATTTCTTTATCTGAGAAGTGTGTATTCAGGTTGATTTTATGACAGTAGCTTATGAATACACACTTATGATTTTATGACAGCTGCCCATTTTTGAATTGGGTCTTTGAATTTGGGGGGGCTGATGTTTTTTAATTCTTTGTATGTTCTAGATAGAAGACCTTTGTCTGAGGGACAGTCAGCTAAAAGTTTTTCCCAATTTGTGGGTTTTCTTTTTACTATGCTGGTGATTTCTTTAGATGTGCAGAAACTTTTCAGTAGGATGAGATCCCAGTTGTTGATTCTTTGAAGTATTTCATGGGCAGTTTGGTTTTTGTTCATGAACTCTCTGCCTACCCCTATGTCTTCAAGGTTTTACCTACTTTCTCTTCCAATAGATTTAGTGTTTCTGGTTTAATATTGAGGTCTGTGATCCATTTTGACTTGAGTTTGGTGCATGGTGATAGACTTGGGTCTATTTTCAGTCTTTGGCAGATGGCAAGCCAATTTTTCCAGCACCATTTATTAAAGAGGCTATTGTTCTTCCAGTGAGTTTGTTTGGCCCCTTTATCAAAGATTAGGTGGCTGAATGTGTTTTTGGTTGTGGCTGTTTCTTCCAGTCTGTTCCATTGATCCTCAGGCCTGTTTTTTAGCGAGTACCAGGTTGATTTTATGACAGTAGCTTTGTAGTATAATTTCAGGTCAGGGATTGTGATTCCACCTGACTTGTCCTTGTTGCCCAGGACTGCTTTTGCTATTGTGGGTCTCTTTTGTCTCCAGGTGAATTTAAGGAATGTTTTCTCAAGATCTGTGAGGTATGTTAATGGTAGTTGAATGGGAATTGCATTGAATTTGTACAACAATTTTGGTAGTATGGCCATTTTCACAAAGTTGGTTCTTCCTATCCATGAACAACAAATATTTTTCCATTTACTGAAATCCTCTTTGATCTCTTTAGAGTACTGTAGTTTTCATTGAATAGATCTTTTACTTCTTTTGTTTGATTACTAAATATTTCAGTTTCTTGGATGCTATTGTGAAAGGTATGGTTTCCTTAATTTCTGTCTCAGTCTGTTTGTTGTTTGTGTATAGGAATGCTATCGATTTCTGGGTGTTGACTTTGTATCCAGCTACACTGCTGAATTTGTTGATTAATTCAAGGAGTCTTCTTGTGGAGTTTTTGGAGTCTTCCACATAAAGTATCACGTCATCTGCAAATAGTGATAGTTTTACTTCTTCCTTTCCTATCTTTATTCCTTTTATTTCTCTCTCTTGTCTAATTGCTCTGGCTAAGATTCCAGAACTATACTGAACAGGAGTGGTGACAGTGGACATCCTTGCCTTGTTCCTGATTTTAAAGTAAGACCTTTCAGTTTTTGTCCAGTTAGTATGATGTTGGCTGTTGGTTTGTCATAGATGGCTTTGATCAGGTTGAGACCATCTATTCCTATTTTCTGTAGAGTTTGATCAGGTTGAGACCATCTATTCCTATTTTCTGTAGAGTTTTTATCATGAATGCATGTTGGACTTTGTCGAAAGCTTTTTCTGCATCTATTGAGATGATCATATGGCTTTTGCCTTTGGCTCTATTGATATGGTGTATAACATTAATTGATTTGTGAATGTTGAACCATTCCTGCATTCCTGGAATGAATCCGATTTGGTCATGGTGTATGATTTTCTTGATGATTTGCTGCATTCTATTTGTTAGTATTTTATTTTCACATTTATATTCATTAGGGAGGTTGGTCTGTAGTTCTCTTTCTTGGTTGGGACATAATGAATTCAAAACCAGCCTGAATTACAGAGTGAGATCCTGTCTCAAAAAAAAAAAAAAAAAAAAAAAGTTAGTTTACTAAGCAATCATTGAGATAAGCCTTCCAGATATTTCTAGCACACCCTGAACTGAGGATCCATTATTGAGGGTCATCACAAACCAGTACTTTTTTATTTATTTGTGCATTGACCACCTACTTTGTACCAGGCATTACTGTTATCCGCCTGGACCACAAAGGTAGAAGTCATCTTTCCATCTCTTTCAGTAAAAAAGTGAAGAGATATTGCAATGCTATGATAGTTTTGGTAGCATGGCCCAGCTGGAGAAACTGTAGCTCAACAGGACCTTGTCCCAGCTGTGTGAAATGGAACAGAGTGGGTGGGTGGGAGGCAGTGTGCAGCGCAAACCTTTTGGGAAGCAGTGAGAGTCGAGGTTCTCCAGGGAGCTCGAGATGGTAAGAGAAGGGCCTTGACTATTGCCAGACCTTGACTTTTATGAGCAGCCACTGAAGGATTTTAGGTAGGAAGGTGAAATAATTTAATTCAGAAATGTCTCTCTAAAGACCAGAGTATGGGTTGGACACTGTTGTGATTTGTTTTCTTTTGCACTAGGAAAACACCCAAGATTAGGTCATTTAAATGGAGAGGAGTTTGCTCTGGCTCTTGGTAGGTGGGGTGGGGGGGGTGGCTAGAGTCCTGTAGCCTGGTGAAGCTCCTGGCTGGAGCCTGCTGGGCTGGGTTTCCCAACGATGGGGGCAGAGGCAGGATGCACACCTGGGGAAGCTTTGCTTGCCAGGAGCTTGCTCCAGGTGCCCCTCGTTCTGTTGTCCCTTGAGGACTGATCTGCCCCACCTACCACACCAGTCCCTTCAGCAGAAGAGCAGAGCCCAGAGACCTCTTAAAGGTGTCACTACCTCTCCCCACTGTGATGTCTAATCAAATTTCAGCTTGAGCCTCAGAGGTGACAAACATATTCATGCCAGAGTAGGGGCAGTGAGTTGATCTATTTATCACTACTCTAGTAAAATACATGAAAGAACGTTGATTTTAGCTGATGGCTCTGGCCTGAAACTGTGGGGCTGCATATGGTGCAGTCTTCCCACTGGGCAGGTCCGGGGACACCCAGACACCTTTAATCCTGATAACTATCTGAGAGCTTTAATTCTGGTCGCCTCTGAACACCACATCAGATCAAGTTTCTACCCCTCACAATGAGGATTGAGTTCCAACACACTAAGCCCTGTGAAACTAACCCCACATTCATACCAGGATAGGCAGTGAGAATGGATATTAAAAATCCAGTTAAAAGCCTAGAAATACTGGGCTGCTCCGAGAGCAGGATGGGAAGATGATAGAAGGTGCAGCCAGTAGCATCGGGGCCCAGGTTGTGCCTTGGTTTCTGACCTGACCGACAATGTGGAGGACAGTCATCCACAACAACAGGAGCTGGAGGAGGAGATGGGCATGGAGATTTTTGTTCACAGTGAAATCTAAAGCTCACAGTCCCTTTCAGGGAGTAATTAGGTGCAGTCATCCTGTGCAGGAGTTTTACTGTCTGTAGTTTTTGTACTTACAAGCTGACTATAGTCAGCTGCACTCTGGAAATATTAGATAGATTATTCCAGAAGTAAACAACTCATACATCATAAATCATGATGCTTTCTGAGCATGTGATAAACCCTCACCTGGCCAGCTCCATCCCTGGGACTCAGAACACCCAGCAGCTCACTGCTCACTGGGCAGCCACCTCGTAACCAAGGGCCCACAGTGTGTGCCTAAGTGACAGACAGGGCACAGTGCTCTCACAGGTCAAGTGTCAAGGGCGTCCTGGAATGCTTCACTGCAGGTTAGGGGACCTACCAGGTGTGTCAATCCAGGGCAGAGCGCAGCAAGCTGAAGAGCAAGAGGCCTGTGTCACACAGTGCAAGAGGGCACAAGGAAGTGCAATCACATGGAGCTCAACCGGGGTCAACATAAAGGGACAGGGGACACAAAAGGACTCCAGAAGGGAAATGATAAAAGGAGTGAAATTAAAGTAGTCACAAAAGAGGGCAGAGTCAGCAGAGTCCCACGCAGCATAAAGAAGGGAATCTGGCAGAAGTCAAGCCATGGCATGGTATGAAATGACTGCAGTGGGCCAGGGAAGTAAGGTAAGACACTGTCTTTCCAAGAGCCCTGGCTGTGGAGAGAGGTGGCTGGAGGTGAGCAGAGGGTGACAGACGTGAGAGAAGCTGGACAGGGAACTCAGGCCTGGAGACTGGAGACTGGAAGGGCAGGAGGGCAGGGAGCAGAGCAGGCATCTTCGCCTAGCCTAAGCAAAGGTACCTGTCTGTCGGTTTCTCTCTCTCTCTCTCTCTCTCTCTCTCTCTCTCTCTCTCTCTCTCTCTCTCTCTCTCTCTCTCTCTCTCTCTCATCTGAAAAGCAAAGAAAGACAAAGCCAAGGCAACGCCATGAGGAGGGTGGATAACTATGCACAAAGGGAGCAGGAAGCTAGAAGCAAGGGAAACCAGTGCTGGTAGTAGGAATAAGTGGTGTATATGTGTAAACATGGTGTTTTATGTTCGTTTCTGTTTTGGTTCTCATTTATTAAAAACACAAGAGACGGAAGGAGAGGGTGGGAAGGGGACATAAAAAGAATTCAGATGTGTTACGCACATGTGCCATTCCTCCACAGGAGGAATGTGATCATTATGTACTGCTAACAGGGACTAATAAAAATAAAAATTAAAAAATATTAACAACTTAAGCATAGCGTTTACTGAGCTTGGAACACTTTTAACGGATAGCACATGCACACTGTCACTTCAGCACTGTGGCTCTTGTGCTTAAGTGTGGAGCCAAATGAGATAGATGGGCTTCACATCATGATTTGATATAGATTCTGAATGGCATTTCTTTTGCTTCTATGCAGGATTACCTTGAAATTAAACGAATGATTTTCCCAAGATTTTATTTTCTCAGCAATGCTGACCTTCTGGATATTCTAGCAGACAGCAGAAATCCTGAGTCTGTACAGGTAATGGCACTAATCTCCATTCAGCAGATTATTTCATTGTTAGGTCAGAACTTTATGACGTTACTGACCTTTATTTCTGGTTCACAGCCTCATCTTGTGAAATGTTTTGAAAATATAAAGCAAGTCCTGATCTGGAGGCAGGAAGTTGGGCCTCCCGCTGTGAGGATGCTCCTGTCTGCTGAAGGAGAAGGTCTTGTGCTGCCCAAGTATGGTGACAAGATGCTCAGACCCTGTAAAACCTCATTTTAAAATCTCTGCTTTGAAATTTCTCATGTTTCATAAAAGTTTCATGCAAACACTTTCTTTAGATAATATATTTATGTAAACACTTCCTTACTCCCTAAAGTATACTCTTCTCACTTTTGTTTTAATTAAAAGTAAAAAAAAAAAAAAAGTAATCTTGAACTCTGGGTGCTTTCTAATTTGCACCTCCCTTTTGCTCCATTACTCCTCTCTGCCCTAGGCTTCCTTCTGACTCTCTTCCCAGTGCTTGAAGGAAGTCTCCTAGTTGGGGTTGTTGATGCTGTTGTCATTGCTGCTTGTACCAACTTCTGCTTGGCTGGTGGTCAGCGCCCTGGCAGGACTTCAAAGCCCATGCTCTGCTTTGCCAGCCCCATGAGGGCACCTATCCCAAACCTCCTTACACCAAAGCCCAGCTCAGTGTTGCTGTTTAATAAGATTCCATGAGGAATCCAAAAGAATTTTGTAATACAATTTATCTATCATATATATTTATATTTTATACAGAACCTAATTATTGTGTATATTCGTGGTTTTGGCATCAGAATTTCCTAAAGCTAGTAATATTTTCTGCATCATTTTCCAAGTTAAAATCTAGAAAAAAACAGAAGATACAGAATTACAGTCCCTTGGCTCATAAGTGTTATGAAAGTCTTCAGGAAATATCAAAGGACTGAAACATGAATTGAAATAATATTTACAACATAATAATAGTGTAATATTTTGTTTGAAATAAATTACAGGAAAATTCGTATAAGAAATGGTGTAGAACAGTGGCTGGCAAATGTAGAGAAAAGCATGTTTGAAGTGCTGAAAAAGTAAGTACAGTCTGAAAGTGAAATACTAAAATTACATACTATACACATGGATAAGTGCATATATAAACTTGGTTCACTCTAATTCAAGTGGGAAGCACCCAGAGAAGTCCCCTAGGAAGTGGGTTTTGACAGAGGATTCACACTGACTAAATAGAAAAATCATCATTTTTACAATCTAGCTATCAGTTTGAGCATGTGACTGTGGACAACACTCAGATGGCATGGTGTGCATCCATGTGCATGTCTATCTGAAACACTCACTCCATCTTTGCCTGCTTTGAGGGTCTAGTGGTCAGGACCCCGCTCACACTTTACATATCTGTTCTACTTCTACTTCCTGGAATTGTTGACTTGCTTTGTTCTTCTTTTAATGTTATTTTTACATGGTAATCTGACATGGGTACCTGCTTATGGTGAAGAAGGTATCTCAGGGTGTGAACTTTCGAAACTAATTTGATTGGCACAGTTTTATTACATTTCTAATTATTTATTTCTGTTTAAAGAAAGGCTACTATTATTTGCAAGCTTGGAAAAGCTTTCCAGACACAGCAGACTGTCACTGACGCACACAACCCTGCTAGCTCCTCCTTGACCAGGTCTCATCTGCATGATGATGTGACAAGACCCAGATGTCATCTTACCTCTGAGAAGGGACATTTGTCCCTTTGCAGAGAACCTTAAAAAATGAATCCAGGTGTTTATAAAAGAAATACAAGCAGGTTTTTAATTATTGCTTATTGGAATTTTTTCTGATTAGACAAACCATGTCCTTTGACAATAGTGGCAGTCCTGTGTCTTTCTTTACAGTTCTTTAAAATGTCATTTTCTTTCCATGATATCTTGGATAAAGAATTTTATATGATATTGAAAAATACAGATGAGAGTGACCACCCTTTTATTGTTTCTAATTTTATTGGAAAAACTTCTAGTATTTGATCATAATGCTTAGCTTTCTGGAATATGCCCCTTATCAAACTAAAGATATCTAGTTTATTCAGATTTTGCAGAGATTTTAAATATTTTATATTATTGTTTTAAAATGACAAAAAATGCTTGTACATTATTTATGAGGCACAATATAGTGGTACCTTGGTTTATGAACTTAATTCATCCCACAATTCTGGAGAAGTGCTTGTGCTTCTCATATCCCTGATTTGATTTGATTTGATTTGATTTGATTTGATTTGATCTTCTTGAGACAGGGTTTCCCTATGCAGTTCAGGCTGGCTTTGAGTTCACTTTATAGCCCAGGCTCGTCTCGAACTCACAACAATCCTCCTGGCTCAGCCTCCTGAGTGCTGGGATTACAGGCATGCACTACCATGCCTGGCCATACCCCTGATTTTAGAGGAAAATGTTTGAAGTTTTCACTGGCAAGTGTGATATTAACTGGGAGATTGTATACAGCCTATATTTTAGTAGGGGACATTCCTTCTATGCCCAGTTTGTTGGCTTTTTATCCTAAAAGGACATTGAATGTTGTCAAATGTTTCTTCTGCATATATTGAAAAAATCATATTGTTTTTTCTTTCATTTTGTTAATATGATGCATCTCATTTATCGATTTGTGTGTGTTGAGCTATCCCTGTATCCCTGGGATAAACCATATTTGATTGTGGAGAATGATCCTTTTAATATGCTATTGAATGTGGTTTTCTAGTATTGTGTTGAAGATCTTTTAATTTATTTTCATCAGAGATTGTCTTAGTTATTTTTTCATTGCTGAGACAAAATACCTAATACCTAAAGTTAAAGGGAAAAGGTTTATCTAATACCTAATACCTAAAGTTAAAGGGAAAAGGCTCACAGTTTGTAGAGCTTTCAGCTGATAGTTGGCTGACGCCAAGGCAGGGCAGCATGGCAGAGTGGCATCACGGAGGACAGTTCATGGTGGGGGATGCAGAAGGCAGTGAGCAGCAAGCAGCAGCAGTAGTAGCAGCAGCAGCAGCCAGCATGCCTTTCCATTTTATCCCATCAGGCTACCAGCCTTTTGGGTGGTGCTACCCAGAACTATGCTAGTTCCAGTCAGTGGACTAATTCATTTTTTATTTTAAAGACAATAGGAAAAAAAGAACAATAGCAACATGCCAACACCACAGACATAAACAAAACAGGAACATTAAAAATGATAGAGGGTTTCAAAACAAAATGATAAGAATTAACAATGGTTGTTATATTACATATTGTTATCTTCAACAAAGTTGCTCAGATTACCAGATGTAAGAATGGAAGACTGATCAAACCATTGAAGAGAATTTTTTAAAAACTTTAAAAAACATTACAGACAATACAGAGTTTCACTAGACAAGATGGTAGGAATTCACCAGTAGTTGTTATATTGCATATTTTGTCTTCAAATAAGTTGCTCAGATTACCAGATATAAGCATACATAACTGACCAAAATATTCAAAAATTTAAGCATTAACTGTTCCTTTCAATAAACCACCAGACATCAGCAGTACAGTTAGCCCAGCTATCCCTATATAGATATATAGCTATATATATATTGATATATATTTTTGCCTTCCTTGTTTCTTTCTTTTTCTTCTTTCCCTCATCCCAGTTGTTCCTTCTTTTGAGCAATTTATTTCCCTTTCATATTATCTATTGCACATTTTTGGTTTTATTTACTCTTTCATGTTCTTACACTAGGGAGAGAATATGATGTTTACACATGTGGGTCCAATTTATTTCACTCATGAGTATGATATCTAGTTGCATCCATTTATCTATAAAAGCCTCGAGTTTGTCTTTTTTATAGATGAGTAATACTCCATTGTATAAAAAATACCACATCTTTTTATCCATTCCTCAGTTGATGGGCATTTGGGTTGTTTCCAAGATTTAGCTATGACAAATTGTGCTGCTGTAGACATGGGTGCACATATATTGCTGCAGTATGATGTTTTTAATTCTTCTAGGAAAATACCAGAAGGGGAATAGCTGGCTTAAGTGGGACTTCTAGTCCTAGTTTTGTGAGGAATCTCCAAACTGATTTATCTGTGGACTAATTCAGTACCACACATTCTTATTCCCAGTATCACATGCCCTGGATCCAGTCAGCTCTGAAAAGCCCCACCTATGACCACATGAGGCTTTTGGGGGACATCTAGATACAGCCATAACAGAGATAGTAGACTATAATTCTCTTTTCCTCCAGTATCCTTGCCTAGCTTTGACATCAGAGTAGTGGTGACCTCATAAAATGAATTTGGAAGTATTGCTTGTTCTTCAGCATTCTGAAATATCTTGAGAAAGATTAGTATTAGTTATTTAAATATTTGACAGAATTCAGCAGTGAAGCCCTCTGGTTCTAGGCTTTTCTTTGAAGGTACATTTTTTTAAATTATTGACTCAATCCTTTACTCATAATTGGTATATTTAGATTTTCTGCTTCATAGTGGTTCAGTCTTCATAGGTTATATGTGTGTAAGAATTTGTCCAGTCAGGCATGGTAGCCTTTGCAAACTATTCAGGATGCTTAGGCAGGAAGATTGCTTGAGCCAACGATTTCAGGACCAGCGTGTACAACATAAGACTTCACATAAAGAATAATTATCCATTTGTTCTAGGTTATACAATTATAATCCTTTGTATTTCTCTGGTATCAGTTAGTATATCCTCTTTTTCTGATTTTATTTATTTGAGCCTTCTCTTCTTGGTTAGTGTGGCTTATGGTTTGTTGGCTATCTTCTCAAAGAAACAATAATTAGTTCTATGGATCTTCTCTATTGTCTTTCTATCTCTACTTCATTTATTTATGTTCTAATCTTTATTATGTTTTTCTTTCTATTGACTTGGAGCTTGGTTTGTTTTTCTCTCATTCCTTGAGAATGCTTTTGGGATACTTCATTTGGAATACTTCTTTATTGATATAGACATTTATTTCTATAAACTTCCCTCTTAGAACTGGTTTGACTGCATTCCATGAGCTTGGTATGGTTTATTCCATTTTTCTCTTCATATATTTTTAAATTTCTCTTTTAATTTCTTCATGGGTCCACTAATTGTTCAGGAGGAGATAGTTTAATTTCTACTAAATGCAAATTTTTCAACATTTCTTCCTTTATTGCTAATTTCATGCCATTGTGTCAGAAGAGATACTTTATATTAAATTTCAATTTTCTTTAACTTTTCCAGACTTAGTCTATTGCCTAATGTGTTGCTAGGGATTGAATATAGTTTGAATGTGTCCTTTAAAGGTTTATGGATTGAAATCTTCCTCCCCATATGTTAGTGTGAGAGGTGATTGAGCCTTGAAATGATGGGCCTTAGCCAGGTGTGGTGGCATATACGTGTAATCCTTCTATGTGGGAGCCAAGAGACAGAAGAATTCAAAGTCCAGGCCATCTGAGCAATCTCATGAGGTCCTGCCTAAATAAAAAGAAAGAGGAAAAGGAAAAGGAAAAGAATAGAAAGGACAAGAAAAGAAAAAAGGGAAGAAGAAGAGGTAGGGCCTACTAAAATGTTCTTATGTCATTGGGGAAGCTTCCCTCAGAAGGTTTCAAAATAGCTCCTGTTGGACCCCTGAACACTTGTGAGAGCAAGCTGCTTATACGTAAACCTGGCCCCTGAATTTCTCTCTGGCTTCCTGTTTCAAGATGTGATCTCTTTCTCCCACAAGGCTCCTGCTGTCTATGAGTACCCCCACCAGAGCGAGTACTATGCTGCTTGAGCTTCTATCCTTCAAAACTGTAAGATCAATGAAACTCTTTTTTCATAAAGTTAGTTGCTTATGCTGTTTCATTATAGTAACAAAAATTAAACTAATCCATATATGATATCTCTTGGATAACACTCCATATATACTTGAGAAGAATGTGTATTCTGTTGTTCTTAGAATGTAATGTACACTTCTATTTGGTCTAAAACACAGTTCACCTCCAATGTTCCCTTAATGACTTTCTTGATGGTGTATCCATTGTTGAAAGTGGGGAACTGAAATCCCTCTCTATTACTGTACATAGTCTCTCTCTCCCTTTAGATCTCTTAGTATCTG